CTGGCCGCCGGACTCCAGCTGGTCCGGGACTTGCTGCCCTGACAGCGCTGCGAGCCGAGCGCATCGATCTGTTCAGGCTCAGCCTGGCTTCCACCCTCTGGCCAGACCCAGCCCGGCCGCTGCTGGGGACCCAGCCCAGCCCCCCGTCCTCCGAGCCCTCACCCCCCGCCCCCCGATTCCCGGCGCCTGCCTGACCTGGAATCTGGAACGATCCTGGCTGAGCGGCGATTCATGGTCCAGTGATCGCGGCCGCTGAGCGACTCCGGTCACAGCCAAGGGGAAGAAAAGTAAGCCCCAGACAGTTTGGCGGCCTCAGGAGGTCAGAGTTGACCAGGACCTTGGCGCAACACCCCCCCCCCCCCCCCGCCTCCGGTTCTTCACACCCTGCCCAGAGGATATCTGAGTTGTTCAGGCAACCCACACCCGGGCAGGCACCCCTTTGCCGTCTGCCCCCCGGGAATTGGATGGGACGGGGACAGGCCAAGTCAGCAGGTTTCATTTCTGAGTGAGATGTATGTCCTCCCTTTTAGGGGCCCGAGTATGGAGTCACCCCAACAAACGGAGCAGTTCACGGGCACGGTTGAGAGTGGGCTTGAGCCCTGACCCTGCGCCATGGCCCATCCGCAAGTTCCCTCCAGAGCGGGACGGGTATTGGGACCTCCCCGCACACGCGAACATGGAGATCAAGGGAGGACACAGACCCCCTGCAGGAAGAATGGGGGCGAACAGAGTGGGCAAAGATTTGACAGGCGGTGATATACCAGCACCATGCATCTCTCTGGGAGGGACCATGTGTTGGAGACTGGAGGTCTTGATCCTCCACACATTCCCTCCCAAGGGCCAGTCACACCCTGATCAGCTGATTTCAAAATAAACCTCCCTCCCCTCCCTCCCTCCCTCCTCTTCCTTCCTTCCTCTTGGTCTGTAGCTGACCCTTTCCACTCTCTCTCAGTGCCCCGCAATGAATCTACACATCTCCTATTTTCTTAGAGTGAAATACATTGGTCCTTTAAGGTCCAACTATCTCCAACTTCAGGCTCTAGCCTGAGGCCTCCCCCCCCCCCCCCCCCCCCACGCACACACCCACACCAAAACACCCCTGCTTCCCTCACCTCCATCCCAGACCTCAGTAGAAGAGTCCCTGAAAAAACAACAACAAAAAAAAGAGTCCCTGAGGACTGATCTGGCAGGCCCAGTGTGGGAAATCATAGAGAGCCTTCTGCCAGGGCTAGGGACAGGCAGTAGATTAAAGATCAAGGGTTAAGTGGGGAGAGAACAGGGAGCATGACAGCTTGGGCCACTTTGAACCCTGGCACAGTCTGAATGTCTTGTCAGCCCAACAGTCTCAGGTGACCATGGGTCCCTCACAGGGTGGCTCTGTCCTCGGAAGTGGTTCCCGAGGTGCCCCCCTCCCACAGGCCCTGCAGGTGGTAGGAACCATGGCCATTGGGGGAGGGGTGCCACGGTTTGGTCAGCAATGACTCATGCTGGCACAGTGGAGAGGAGTCAGAAGGTGAGGGTCCCCCCTTTTCACATGCCACAACCATCCACACGATTTCTGCAGGAGGAATGGTGGTGAAGAGTGGGCAGAGACTTGGAGTCATCCTGGACTCTAGATACCTTCCTGACGCTCAGGCCCACAGCCAAGTGGTCATCAAATCTCCCCAACTCTATCCTCCCAAAGCCAAACTACCCTCATCCCCATTGTTCTCCACATGCCAGATTGACATTATTAAACATTGTCAGGCTCCATCATGTCCACCTAATCCCACTCATGGCTCTCCCATTGCATGCATGAATCAGAGTGAATGAGGACCCTGCTGTGTACCCTGGCTGTCTCCCCCAATTTCCACTCTGGTAGCTCTCTCATCTCCAGCCTCAATGGCTTCCTTGCTGCTTAGAACAGAAAAAACTCCTTCTCCCGCAGGACTTCTGCACTTGTTGCACTGGGCCTAGTCTGCAGCCTCCACTTTTGGGGACTCAGTTGAGCTCTGCATTTAGGCCTTAGCCCAGACATGGCCATTGACTTTGAAGCAGCCCTTGCCTGGCTCCCACTAAAATATAATCACTGGCCCTGGCCAGTGTTTCTCAGTGGTTAGAGTGCCGTCCCATGCACGGAAGGGTCACAGGTTAAATTCCAGGTCAGGGCACATACCCAGGTTTCAGGTTTGATCCCTGGTCGGGGCATGTATGGGCGATAACTAATTGCTGTTTCTCTCTCATATCGAGGTTTCTCTCTCTCCCATCCTCTCTCTTTAGACTCAATGAGGAAAAAACCCCACAAATCCTTGGGTGAGGATAAAAATAATTATATATAATAAATATATGTGTATGTGTATATAAAATCACTGAAAGAATAGGCCCCTCACCTGTCCTATTACTGTCCCCTCCTGCACTACTCGTTACCACCAGCACAGTCCTTGGCATACAGCAGGTGTTTAACATATGTTGAACGAATGATGAAACCACCCCCTTCTCTACAACCCTTCCAGGATAGTATCTTAGTGCCTGTCAGACCTGGAAAAGGGGCAACCCAATCAAGACCAGGGCTTCTGAGCTGGTTTGGTAGCTAGAACTGAGCCCATTTGGAGATCAACTTACTCTCCCAAAGCTCATGGTTCAGCAGGCTCCTATTCCTCTGCTGCCAGAGCCTCCCCGGAGTCACAAGAGGCCAAACACTGACCCAATCATGACAGAGCCCTGTGGGAACTGGCCTAGGCATCAAGGAAGGCTGCCTGGAGCAAGAATTAGGGATGGGTCTTGAAGAACAAATGGAAGTTTGTCAAGAAAAAGAGTGCTCCAGCAGGGAGCGTAGCATGTACAACAGCCTCGAGACCTGAACAATCCCAGCAGAGTGTCTGGAGCACATGGTGGGTGAGAGTGGAACTGAGGTGGAGGGCCCCGAGAACCAAGCTTAAAAACTTGGGAGGGAGCGGGGGAGACATAAAAAGAAAAAGAAAATACGTGGCCTTTGTCCAGGGAGCCAGGAGCTGCGAAGATTCTCA